AACCAACCGCCACTGTTTTATGGTCCAACTTACTTCCCGTAAACAAACAAAGTTATGCTGCCTTCAATATAAGGATGGAAAAGGCCACTTTATTGTCTTTCGTTACTTTGAGGTCCGGTGTGTCTTGGAAAATTCTTCACACAATGACAAGCAGAAATTAATTTCGTTTGGTCGATCAGACCAACCGATAGACCGGTTTCGGGGTGTTTGCCCCATCATCAGTACCGGACATGGTCTCTTCAGAACGGTGTGAACCGTCTTAGTATCACGACTAAACAAATATAATTCCAGCTAGTCATGATATCTGCGGAATATTAATCATAATTCCGACTCCCACTCCAGAGTATGCTTGTGGAGTTGGTTCCTGGCTATATTTGCAGGTGGCGCATTGGACATCCCACTGAATCAACTGCTGATACATTCCCCTTTCATTTGACGTGCTGCACGCGGCGATATCCAACTATTGTTATCGAAGATACTGCTTAGTGCCCTTCTGACATGCCATTCCTCGGTATGAATGCCTACTCCAGTTCCAGTTCCAAATTTACTGAAAGTCCCTGACGCATTCAATAATAATTTTACAGTTGTTTCAAGTCCTAATGTTCTTTTCCTTTGTTTGTGTTTTACAATTGTCATTATAAGTTCAGTTACATGCAGGTCCGTAGCGAAAAGAAAAACCTGGGGGGGGGAGGGAATCCAAATTTTCCCAACCTCACCAGCAAAATTTCCCAACTTTCGAAGAAATGAAAGCCGAGGTTTTTTAAAGATGAAATCTTTGAAAAATTTGAAGTAAATTATATCAGGCATCGTTATCTGAAACCTAAGTAAATTAAAAATGGCAGGTACCTATTCCATATATAAGCTCTATGATTTCACGATTCATCCGATTTGCATCTATTTATATGGAAATCTACTCTATTTCCAGAGGAATAATTGTGGATGTTATGATTGAAAATTACAAATTCATTGAAATACTCAGGTTGACCTCCCTATGGTATCTTGTATATGAATGTCATAGTTATATAAAACAATCTGCTTGCAACTGGTTACCATTTCAGTGCATCCAGCATTAAAGCTATAGGTGTTAATTTATTACATCCCAGAATTACCTTCATCCCTCTATTTTGCATTTTTTGTAACTTTGTAATTTGAGAAATTGATAATGAGAAATTATAATAATGAGCTGCAATAATCAGAATGTGGTTGAAACATTTTTTTTTGATAATTCATTTTTGATGTACTGGGCATGCTCATGAAGAATCAGATTATTATCAACAATGCATCCAAAGTATTTATATTCTCTTTTAATTTGTAGCGGAGTATTTTCTATTTTTAATTCGGTGTCATTTATATGTTTATATGATCATATTTATTTTAATTTGCTATTATCATTGCTTTTGTTTTTTTTTGAACATTCAATTTCAGTTTGTTTATTTTCAAAAAATATCCAAAATTTTCAATGTAATATTCATTTTTGTATTGTCTGAATTTAGATCGATATCACTTTCAAAAATTTGTGTGTCTTCTGCAAAAATATTTATGAATTCACACTCTGTATCACTCAAGCATATGTCATTCAAATACAAAATGAATGAAAGAGGCCCCAACACACTACCCTGCGGTACACCAGATTGAATTGTCATTTCCTGAGAAAATATTCACTCACTTTGATCCGCTACCTAAACCATATCCTAGAACTTTACCAGACCAACCCAATATTTCTAACAACACAGCACACAGGGTTAGTTGCCAACTGCTCCAGAGCCCATTCGTTGTCTTTGGTCGTTCACCTCCAGTTCCTACAGCTAAATTTTGTACGGGTGCAGGCCCAAGTCACGAAGTCACGCGAAATCGATTGCCTCGGATTCTTCTGAACACTCTAACAGACAGCAGTGGACTCAAAAATGTATCCACCAAATTGTGTATAGTCCTCTCGGTAGGATGATTTCAGCGACCATAACTAATTTGACAGATGTAGCTTCAACAAGATGGCCGTTATCAAATGTTAAAGTTCAGAAATTCCTGTTGAAAGACTAAATATGATAATGTGATATTGCAGCGATATGATGGCAAAGTTTTGTTATCTCTTAGCCCAGCTCGGTCACGAAATTTCATTCTACGAATTGGAGGTAAATGGTCTAGTCAATCCTTCACTGCAACCTGCGAGGGGTATATTGTGTACAAAAAAAATTAAACATCAAAACTTTTCATTCATCTATATTTTTCATTTTCATATCTTTTATGAGGCAACTGGCAATCCCTGCATGACTTGGCTAACACACATAAAGGAATAAACTTTTAAGAAGAAGAATAAGTCAAAATGTCAAAAGTGAAATATTTGTTATGAAAGTCATAATAATTGTCAAAGTCAAAAATCATAACATAAAAATGTTTATTCGAAGAAAATTTCTTTCAACTTGAAATAACGATATAAGTCATGTTATAATGGAAAAATCATCGCTCAAGGTTGTACTATAAAAGTTTTTGCTCAGATTGACAATATGCGACCCCAAATAATAAATTACTCCCTGACCGAAATAGTGATATGTTTTATTGTGGTTGGATATGCGGCTGTTGACTTGGTTCCTTGTGATAAAACTAGAAGGGTATTTCAGTCTTCGTGGGGTATCATAAGTGATGGACCTGTGGGATCAAACTACACCCAAGATAGCCATTGCGAATGGCTGATCAAGGCCAATGACAGCAAAAAATATATTACTCTGAGCTTTCGTAGTATGGGCACCGAATGTTCTTTTGATTATGTGTTCGTCTACGATGGAGATTCTTTTAATGCCCCACTTCTTGGTAGCTTCAGTGGCAAGACTGAGCCTCAGCAAGTTATTGCAACTTCTGGGTATATGTTAGTATTATTATACAGTGATACAAACTATGTGTTGGATGGTTTTCGAGCAGAATTCTCCATTACAGACTGCCCAAATAATTGTTCAAATCATGGCGTGTGTTATGACCATCAGTGTGCGTGCGAAACTGATTGGGGTGGTTACGACTGCTCAAGACAGTTGTGTCCTGATAACTGCGGAAGATATCAAAGCCGTGGTCATTGCGATCAAAGCCAGTGTGTTTGCCGTTCGGGATTTTCTGGACAGTCCTGTAATTTAAATGAACATGATTCTGTGGGAAACAAATGGCACTGGTTATCTCATTCGGAAGGAGGTTTACAGCCTCGTGCTGCACATTCTGCAGTATACATGAAGTTGACTGATGCTCTGTATGTGTTCGGAGGATACAATCTCAATACTGTCTTAGGAAATTTGGAAGTTTATAATTTTCAAACAAGTACATGGAGAGATGAGAATGGTGACTTGTTACCAGATAAGGGTCTCATTAGTTCTATTGAACCCAGTTCAATAGCAAAATTAATAGAACATGCCGGCCCTGATTGGGAACAGAAATGGGGCATAAACAGTAGGACTTCCTTTTTGAAGAATCTTCTTTATTCAATCAGTGAGAATGCAACACATATTCGAAGAAGACAACGTCATTCCAGAGTAACGGAGGAGCACAAGCCACTTCCTAGATATGGACATTCAGCTTGTGCATTGGATAAAGGATTTGTACTTTTTGGTGGAAAATTACAGAATGGTAGTCTTGCGAATGATCTGTGGTACTATAATGTTCAAACAAGAATTTGGCAGCTAAGGGGAAGACTTTCAACATTACAACCACCTCCGCTTACAAGACATACTTTGACTTGTGCCAATAATGTGATATTTTTGTTTGGAGGCAGCAAGGAGAATGGAGAGTTTTCATCTACATTATATAGTATCCAACTAGCTCCAGATCTAGATGAAAATTGGGAGGAAATCAAACCTAGAGGTGGGAAGCAGTTAGATATACGAGTTGTAGCTCATAGTACTGTCTTTCATCCATCAACTAATTCACTGATAGTTTATGGAGGAATTGTACCAGGTGTTGCCAGATTCTCCAAATTATCAGATAGGATGTTTGTTTTTCAATTGGACTATCGATATTGGACTGAAATACATTATACCAGAGAACATTTGAGGGAAAAATTTGTTCCTAGAGAAAGAGCATTTCATACTGCCAATATTTTTGGAAATTATTTGGTTATATTCGGAGGATATTCCCATAGACACAATAAAGAAGAAATTTGTTATGACAATCAGATGTATTTGTATCATCTTGGGTGCCATACTTGGGTAAATCCTGATATACTGGGAAAGACTAATGAATCTCAGTATCCTAAACAGCAAGGTATGCTAGGATCTAATTCATTATTTCATGTTATATACCGTATTATCATCCATATTCAAATTATAAATACTGTATCGAGGAGAAATACCTAAATATTTTGAAATAAATTCTTGAAATATTAATATCTCCCAACTTACACAGAGTAGTTACCATCCCATGTACCACTTTAGCAGAAAATTCCTCGATACAGTTCAAAATTGTTTTGAATGTGTTTGTGTGTGACTCAGAAGGTGTTTATAATTGTAATGCAGTAAATAGTCACCAAAATGTTACTTCAACAGCAAAAGTTCTTAGAAGAATCCTCAAGCTCTCAAAATTTCACACAGATCTGCAATGTGTTTCACACTCATTTAAATTTCTTAAAATACCTAATAGTCATCTGAAGACAACTTACCTGTACCCACAGTAAAATAATGAAAAATCTTCATAATTTTCCATGTCATCAACATAATTATTTCTACATATAATAAACATCTATATCTACTATTTATTGTCAAATATGAAGAATTGACTCTAAAATTTAATTTAACTTAAATTCACCAAATTTATGGATATGAGGTCAGTAACTAAAATAAGCTCATCGCAACACAAATAAAAAAAAAACAACAAAAAGGGATTTTCTTAGAGAGAACCATTGTACACAATGAACTGACAGATAATGTGAAAATACTGGATTTTTTCAACCAGCTGTTGTCTCCTTATGAATGACGATCCTATGAAGTCAACTTGTATGAGCTAAGGATAAATAATATCTTACCTTTTAAGCTGCGAGTGTTAGCACATGTCGCACGATACGGAGTGAACATCTATTGTCTCAGAGTTGAGATCGAACTAACTCTCACAATATCACTGGTTTCATCACTGGACTGACTAACTAACTGGCTACCTTCTGATTTTCAACTGAAAAATTTTTTAATTAAAAAAGGAAATAAATTTGTTTTTTGTGACCATTAGAATAGTTATAACACATTCATCACACACATTCATCACACATCAGTCAAACAAGTAAAACATTCTAAATGACTTCAAGTGTGAAACCTGGTGAAAGATGAGAGAAATTAATCAGATATTTTTTGTAAGGGTAGTTCATTGTCTCAAATTTTGTGGTTCAAAAAATGTTAATGATAATTAATTACCTCTTCAATAAGTTGATATATATATGCAGCGCGATGCAGTCAAGTGTGAAGATGGGCAACACTTGCTTGCCGAAAGCAGGAAACAACACATACGCACGGAGTCAACAACAGAAGCCAACCGCACATTTGTGGTTCCAGTTAGAAGACCTAGAATTCCCAGGCTACATCTAACATGACCACGTTGGCAGCTATAGCTACCTGCGTGATATCCGTGTTCAGGATATAAATACAAATATAGATTTTATCGAGTGGTCATGATACAAATCAAAAATTAAATAATTCGTGAACACAACACTCCAAAAAAGGGGGGCAAACCGCGGACACGTGTTTCTGGCTATTGGCCTCATCAGCGCGGTGCAGCCAAGTGTAAAGATGGGTACAATTTATTCACTTATCTCAGATCTATTATTTTATCAACCACTTTCAAATTTCAATTCAAATTCCAATGTATTTCTATTAGCGCAATAGAAGTCTTTCCTCTGATATTCTGCTGACATTTGAATTGAGTGAATTAACTTTAAAGGAGGAAACATTCATTTTAACAGATAACCTATTATTGCTTTCTGTGAAATTTGATTCTTTTGAGTGGCAGAAATTCTTCTTGTATGTAACTTTTTGAATAAAACATACTACTTAATGATTTATTTGAACTTCAGGTGTATTTGCTCATGCTTCTGCTGTAAGAAATGGTAACACTTTAGTCCTAATTGGTGGATATCATGGTAATGTTAATGGAGACCTACTTGCCTATACAGTTCCTCCAATGATTGCTACCAGAACTGGAGAAATATATGATCCAGAGGCAGCGTGTGTAAGACATAGAAACTATGGAGAATGCTCCTCTGATCCAGAATGTGGTTGGTGTTCTGCAGATGAACAATGCTATGGAAGAACAATAGGTTCAAATTGTACTACAAATTTGCAAACCACAAGATGTCCTGGGGTGTGTCCAGCCCTAGGAGACTGCCATTCTTGCCTTATACATGGTCATATATTACCACAACATACTCCCATGATCTCAGCTGCCCGTAAACTTGGTAATGTTTTTTGTTGTTTGTTTTTTTTAAGATCCATAATATAATAACCTCTTTAGGTTTGGAGGAATGCACTTGGTGTGTGCAGAATGCCAGATGCCATCACAAAGATGACAATTACGGAGTTTGTGGTTTACAAGAAGATAGTCCTAGTCAAATACCAGGATGGTGGGGTCCAAAGGGAACAGAAGTGGTGAAACCAGAACAATGCCGAGAACTTGATAGGCGACCTGGTTTGACCTTTGTGAAGTATCACTATCCTGTTAATTACTCTCAGCCAGACAATGTTGCCATAATCAATGCCACAACTGTAAGAAAATGTGTCGTTATTGAATCAAGTCCATAGTTGTATTTTGTTTTATTCAATAGAGTTTGTCCTTTGTTTTCTGAATCATATGTATTTCAAGGATGTTTCTTTGATAATAGTTGTTACAGGTGGATTTTATCAGTCCTACAAGTTCGCTTCCCCGTGGAGATTTTTCAAGTGGAGGAGAGATGGTTGCTCGACTTTTAGGTTTTCTTAGGCTTCCCCCTAGCTGGCAGGAGATGCTTAATGTGTGTGTCAGTTTTTGCTCTGCAACTTTAACAGTTTCGGATACTTTGGTGGCCAATGTAACACCAGAAGCCAAAGAGTGCATGGGCGTAAAATGGCCAGATAATATAACTTTAGATAGAATATCTGTTGATTTTATGTCTAAGAAAATGATCAACATGGGTTACAACACTTATATGCAACAGAGCAAAATGGAGCTGCAGCATTTCAAAGAGTCTGATGATACCCCCAAAGTGAGTAGTAATATAATAAAATAAATAAATTTGTTGTGATATAACAGAGAATTCACTTAACATGCATTACAATGTAACATTGCTTAGCAGGGAGACAGGATAATAATATGTTATCTGTTATAAAACCCCAAGAACAGTGCAAAACATGTTCTATGCACGTCAACTGTTCTACATGTCTTAGCTCGCTTAGTTGTGGATGGTGTTACAATAATTCAAATCCCATGAGCGGTAAGTAGAAATTTTTTTTTTCTATTTGCTGTAAGTATTTTTGATTTCATAAAAAAATTTGTATTCTTGTTGCTTCTCAATAAGAATGGCTCACTGTCAAATAAATGGAATAATAAAATAATAATTTCATGATTCGCAACATGTACGATATAAACCACAGTCAGTTGTTGCTGAGACTTATATGCAACCTTCGTCTTTGCAGTCAACACATATACTACTGATGATGTCTGCTGTAGTAGCAGTTGAAAAAGTTTGGTACTTCAGGTACCATTCGACCTTTTATACATAATACATGTTATGTTACGTTTTCCCTGTGTGTTTACCAATTAAATTACTGTACAATTAAACTTAACTTTATTTCACTGTTCACTGACAATACAACCAAACACTTCAACTAAAACTTAAAACCAATATTCAAATACTATCCCCTTATTAGATCACTTCGTACCGCACTGTCAACTAGATTTCCTGATATGCGAGTGAATTGTGTTTATATAAGCCAATGGAAGTCTTAAGAAGCAGATAGATTTATTCTTGAAGTGATGCGACACCTAGAACGATCTAAAAACACGTAGAGTTGAGCGCGACCTTGGCCATGTCACAGTCGATTGACGACGACCACTGGCGGACGTCGTTTTCTTTTCAGGAAATGATTTACAACACTTCCCCCTTCCCTGAGGTTATTCGCCCCAAACAACATTCCAAGAGAGAAACATCACGACCCATGTAAGGACTCTGTTTCTCTATGGGGACAACTTTAGACTTGCTTCTGGGAGACAATTGCATTCTGTATACCAGATCGTTTACCTTTTTGGTTACCAAGTAAGGTCCTTGCCATGGTCTCTGCAAGTTAGTTACCAATTAAGGTCGTTGCCATGGTCTCTACAATTTGGGACACAAACCTTTCCGACGTTGGAGTTGGTAGAGCTACATTGCATTGCTCTCCTTAAAGCTCACCGACAGCGACTTTTTTTCAAAAATTATCTTCATCTTGTCGCTGGAAAGCTTTTATTTGGATCTGGCAAATTTGTGTACAATTTCCAGTTTCTGCTTCCGATCCTTCACATAATCTGAAAGGAGTACCTCTTGAGATTCATCGGATGGGCACACATTACGTTTATCGGTAGCTTCAGTTCTGGACCAGTTAACAACATGGATGGTATGTAACTGGTCGCGTCATGTTGGGAGCTCTTGTATGCCAACAGAAAGAGAGGAACTGGTTTATCCCAGCCTCTTTGATTTTCGGAGACAAACATTGAAAGGTAGTTATTAATGGTGCGATTATGCCTCTTGACCAATTCATCGGACTGTGGGTGAAGAGCGGTTGTTCTGGTCTTCTTTATTCACAACAAAGTCATTATTTCCTTTCATAAATCCGATTCGAAGTTGCGGCCTTGATCCGAGTATAATTCCTGGGGTAATTACGTTCTGCAGCAGAGCTTCTGCCACCGTTTTAGACCCTTGGCTACTATTTCAGGCCATTTTGAGAAATAATCCATCACAACCATAAGGTACTTGTTATCGGATGTGGTCATAGGAAGTGGTTCCCGAATATCTACTGCGATTCTCTCAAAAGGGCACCCACTGAGGTATTGCTTCAACCTTCCTCTTTACCTTGTCTTCGGACCCTTTCTCGAAGAGCACAGGTCACAGCGCTTACACCACTCCTCCACATCTCGGCAGCAATTGACCCAGTATGTACCTTTCACTCCGAAATGCTCTCCAGTGCGACCATCGTGGAGCTGTTTGTTCGAGTATTTTTAAGGATCATCTGGAATTTATGAGTTCTTTCATCCGGACTTTCCCATTTCCGAGTGAGTAGGTCATTTCGAATACACATGGAGTTCCATTGGAGCCAGTAACCCTTTTCCTGCTGGCTGTGCTTCCATTCTCGTACAGTATTCAAGATCGGACCCTCCTTCTGCGTTACGATGATATCTTGCCCAGTCATGAAACTGTCAACGACCGTACCACACCATGGTCAGATGCTTCCTCACCTTTTCTGTCCGTATTCCTGGACAAGGGACTTTTACAGGTTGCTACCCTCCGGGTCATAGGGAACCCGGGAGGTAGAGGAGCTTATCTCCCTATCAGAGCTGTCCATAAAGGAGTCTCTGCCCGCTACCTTGTCACGTCTGATGGAAACTTCTTCTGGTATATGGGTAACTTTGTCCTCCTGGCGTTGACAAAATTTGCATCCGGATGTCAGGCATGGTCTTCTGGAGATGCTATCTGTGTTTCCGTGACTCTATTCTTCACGATATCGAATTTCAAAATCTTAAGTTTGTATATTTTCGATACACCTGGTTATTTGTCCTTCTGGGGGTTTTAAAGTTGAAGAGCCACCAAAGTGCTGAGTGGTCTGACCTGATCAAGAATTTATGGTCATATAAAAAGAAGTGGTAGTGATACACCGCTTTGACTACTGAGAGGAGCTACTTTCTTGTGATGCAGTAATTTCTTTCGGACGTTTCCACGGACTTACTAAAATAGCTAATGACGACTTCGTTTTCTTCTTGTACCTAAGAGAGAACTGCATCCGTGTCAAGAATAAACAAGCTCTTCTCCTTTGGGCATGCCGAAACTGTTCCACCGGTCAAGTGCCTCTTCAGGGCAGCAAATGCTTGCTGACAGTCTGGGCACCAAACGAAGGGGGGAGTCCAAGGAAGCTTCTTACGTCGTGCTGGCTCTTCGGTGTTGGTCCTCCTTTGGGTATGCCAAGACTGGTGCACTGGTCAAATGCCTTTTCAGGGCACTATAATGTCTTGAAGATAGACCAAGCATATTTTCTAGGTGAGTCCTCTCAGCACTAACTCCATCAACCGTTCAAATGTTGCGGGTGCGTTGCATATTCCGAACGGCATAAACTTAAACTTATATAATCTATTGCCGGTGGAAAAGGCAGTCTTCTCTTTATCCTCGGGGCGAACGGCCAACTGCCACTATCCGCTTTTGACATCTAATGTTGAGAATCATCTGCATTCAGTCAAGATGTTCAGGGTGTCATCTGTTCTGGTAAGAGGGTAGCTGTCCTTTCTGGTGATCTGGTGATCAGTTCTCCTATAGTCTACGTAGAATCTCGTCGATCCAACTTGTTTAGTCACCAACACAACTGGTGACGACCAGGGGCTGATTGCGAAGGGAAGTCCACTGGGTAATTATTAAGAAATCCGTTGTCAACTAAGATGTTACTATTGCGTCCTATCGTGAAAATCGAATACCTGGGGGCTTGGGATGCCGCAGCAAGTGTAACACCATAACACTGACTGAATTTAGTTTTCCGAACCCCGACGCNAGCGAAGTGATGCGAGTCCCGCAAGTCGCAGCTTGTCTTGCCGCACGCCGTCTAGCTTAGTGGACGGTACTTCATAAGAATACATTGGTAAACCAGCGCCGCTTAACCCAGCTCAACTCCGCTCCGCTCAGCACAGCACAGCATCGCTCTCGGTGGACGGCCAGCTTTATAGAATACAGAAATATAAATTTTAAAAGATATTTCACCTGGGTAGTTCTCAGATCTAGAATATATAAAATTTCATTAAATTTTCGTATGTTTATGTGTATATACCCTATTTTACAATTAGGTGATAACATTTCTTTCATTCCATGATGGTATCTCAAGGTTCCATTTTGGGACTGATATGTTAATGAGTTGCCTTTGATCCTATTCGATTCATTTATTACATTGTGTAGTATGTAGATGACTCAACATTACTTTTTACAAAGTATTACTCCGAAATTCTGAAACGAAATCAATTTCACAATTTACAATTTCTTTTTGGTTCATAACTATTTATATAACATCAATAAAGACTGTGTGGATATATCTGCAGAGTTATACGAAGAATGTAAACTTTCGCGGCCGGAGATGACTGTATGAAGACTATTTTCCGGGTTTTCTGACCGCGGTTTGCAGGTTTTTATGCCTGACGTTTCGTCTACTGCTGCGGTTGACATTTTCAAAGGCGATGTGGTAACGGTTGCAATACCCGAGCTGGTGCTCTGGTTCTTGTTCCTGTTGTATCCAACACATCAACTACTATTTCCGTACTGGGCGCTCTATTTATTTCGTTCTTGATTGTATTATCTGTTCGTGTTCATGTAACTCTCAGGACAGGTAGCCAGCTTTTTTGAGAGCATTTCGGCCATAGCCGACTTATCGGTTTGTCCGAGGCGACAGTTTCTCTTGTGTTCAGAGAGACGTGTGCCTGTACTTCGTTTCGTGGTTCCGATATAGACCGATCCTCAGTTACACGGAATCCGGTATACCCCTAGCGTTGCTAGAGATTCTCTAGGGTCTTTCGCTGACCTGGCCTAAATATTGGTTTCACGTCGTGTTTCACTAAAATTCTACCAATCCGGACTGTGACATTTTTGGAAAGGGGAGGGAAGAAAAACTTTTCCTAGACTGGCCTAGCTGGGGTTGCTTTGGTGTTCTTTCTCCTGAGTCGTTTGGCCCGTTGAAAATCTCATTTGCTGTACCCATTACGTTTGAATGCATTTTTCAGGTGATTCAGTTCTTTAGGCAGTCCCTCAGGTTTACAGATTCGTTCGTTTTTGTTCAAGTATCTGACTGCGCGTTGGTTTTCTGTACACTCGGTGGCCCAATGTACGTCTGTTCACAAGAACATCCAGGAAGACTAAAGTCCCTTGGGTTTCTCGTTCCATTGTGAATTGGATTTTTGTGTTGAGTGTTTCAAGTTAAAGTTTTAGATACCAATGCATCAGGCTTTTTTGAAATAGTCTGCAATATACTCGAACAGTATACCCAGTAGAAGTGTGGCGTATCAAATTCAGATGTTTTTAATGAAATGTGATTTATTGCTTTTCACATAAGAATACTGCCAGCAAACCCAGGAAAGTACTTTTAAAAATTATAAAATTGTATTGGTATATACCGAGCAGTACAGAACTTATGCCAAAAGTAATGTAAAAAGTTGATCTGTTGAACATTTGAAATCGGCATTGTTAGGTAGATGTTTCAAAAATGTAGAATTTTCGTTTTCGAATGATATTGACCACAATCATCTCTTTCAATATAGAGTAAATCGAAACTTGAAAATAATTTTTTTGATATTTCAAATGGAACACTCAATATTTCAATAAAATGTGATTTCTTCTTGAAAACCTCTTTTTTTAAATATGAGGTTGTATAGGTGAATACCTAGCGGTTCAAAAGTTTCAACAAAAATAGTTTCGAAAAATATATTATTTTCAACATTGAATTTCTGGTGAAATGAATTTGACACAAATTAAAAGATCTTCAGATTGATCTCCTCTCAGGAATATGGAAAGAGGATATTTTTGTTTGACAGTATACTTAAGAGGCTCAATCTTGATAACATAAAGGAGTTAGTGAACACAACAAAATCATGAGAAATAATGAAAACCCTCATAGGTTTATTCATGATCAATGGGAGGAAAAAATTTGGGCTCAGATTTCCTATAAAATCACAAACCTCCTATTCGATTCCCCCTAGTATTGGAAGTAAGTGTTTGGTGAAACTAATTACTATTCGATGATAAACAAACTACAACTTTGAAATATTTTCATAGTAAAATATACTTTTCAAATGAGATTTCATTGAACATGAGAATGGTTGAATGGATCCATTTTTGACGTTAAATGCCAATTTGTTCAAAAAAATCTGACAGCTACATCATGATTCTACATTTTCTAATTGCATTTATTTCAACAATCGGTTCATAATTGATTACTTATTTTCAAAGTTTTCAGTATTCCTTTATAATATTTTTATATTACTAATTACATATTAGTCTAACTTGGAATTGTGTTCAATTTTATTTATTATTTTCCAGGTGTTTGTGTCCAAGGGGACTTCAACAATCCTCATGTCAACTGCTCTCTTGCACTAGGTTCTGCCGAGTCTAAATGGGCCTATGCCCAATGTCCAGACGTAGACGAATGTGGTTTGGGCTTGCACGATTGTCACGAACAAGCTATTTGTACCAACACTGATGGGTCCTTCAGTTGCCATTGCAAAAAAGGCTATATTGGTGATGGTAGGAAAAATTGTCACAGAACTTGTTTCAATGTATGCATTCATGGAGTGTGTCAAGGAGAACCTGATTATTCATGCAAATGTGATATTGGGTGGTACGGAGATGATTGTTCAAAAAATTGTGGGTGTAATAACCATTCTGCTTGCCCTCAGGGGGAAGGAATTTGTGAGGAGTGTGTCGACAATACTATGGGAGATTTTTGTGAATACTGTAGACCCGGCAGTTATGGAAATGCTACCACTGAACTGGGTGAGTTAGAAGAGGAAGAAGTTTTTATGCCACTGAACAGCAAACTATAAAAAGTTATCTTGATGAAATTTTTGAGTAGCATTATAAATTTAATTTTGAAATTGGAGCAAATTTGTTGTTATGAATGTCACAATAATAAAATAAATAAAATGAAACTACCACAAACCCCTGAATGGTCACGTAGAATTTTATAAAAATAATTGTTTGATATCAGGACACCCATTTCAATTCTCCGAAGTTGATGATTTGTTTGTGTATGAAACAATTTGTAATATTAAAACTAATGCGAAAGGATATGATAAATTGAACTTGAGTTTAATTAAGATTTGCTGCCCTTATATTATTGAACATATAACTCTATATTAGGACCACTTCTGTTTTCTTTATATACTTCAACAATTCTGAAATTTTTTGAATATTTTACTGGTCACTGCTCTGCCGACAATACATAGATTTATTACAGTTTTTATCCAGGGGATGCGGAAACGGCCTGTTATTTCATTAACGAATATCTTCAAACATTCATTAATAGAAGGATGTGTAATGATGCTAATACTTCGATAAGGTCGATAATGTTTGGACATATTTTTGGGAATGAGTGGAAGAACGTTTCAGTGGAGGTCTTGTTTCCAAATGAAACGAACTACACCATTTTATCCTGTTTATTTGTTTTTGGTCACAAATATAAAGTAAACAATTTATGTGAGAAATAAACCGATTATTATTATTATTGATGATAGTTATTAGAATATTTTAATAGTATTGATTTTGTATATGGTATATACTTTTCGCAGGTTAAGTGATTCAGAGTCAACTGTACTGGCAATAGTTTCGAAAATTCAACTTCAATTACATTCAAATAATGTTTGTGGCATGTTATTACTTGATTTGCAAAAGGATTTCAATACAGTAAATCATTCTTCTACGGAGGTTAAACTTCCATTTTTTACATGGTTTTAAAATTATCTTGGTAACAGAAGGCAGGAAAAGAAGAGTTCATTAAAAATCATCAATTGCCGAATTCCACAAAATTCTTTTTCCAATTTCTAATTTATTTTAAATCTATTACAGGGCTGAATGTCTGTGGTTCCATCAGTCTTTTTACTGATGATATAATACTCACTTCTTTTGTGAATATATCAGTATATGAAAAATCAATTTCAGATAATTAAAAATTGATCTATTTAGTTGGGATCTTATTTAAATTTTGATAAATCCTCCTATACGATTATATCCAGAACGAATTCAAATAACAACACTTTTTTCTTCAATTTCAGCAATAATTTGATAGAATTCAAGAAAGAAATATAATTTTTAGGCTCATATTTAGATCAGAATTCATTGTGGAATTCAGATATCAGTCAACTCAGAAAGAAAGTTTCACTTCTTGTTGTTATATATTTTATAAAATTCAATTTAAATATTTTTTTGCTGTTAGTTCATTTATTATGTTAAAAATAATGAAAAACATTCAGTACTGTGTTTTGATGAAATTATTTATAGTCAGTTCCATCTGGGAAATTTATAAATACATTTCATTACTTTGTTTTGCAATCTATTCAAAGGTTCAATCTACCAGTTTTTTCATTTTTTTAAAACACATGTTGCATACATACTTTCCCACAAAACTATATTATTCAGAGAGAAATAAGAACCCTGGATAAAAGATGAAAACGTTGATTACATTTGTTATAATCTGATTGATATAGCATCAGTTTTTGAATATGGGGAACTGCTTCCATGGCTATTGGCCATTCTATTTTCTGTGTGAAAACATAGGAAAAATGTTTTTGGTGATTGCCAAGTTCTGAAACTATCAAGATTAAAGATTAATATTAGTATTTTTTCCCCAAAGGTTGTAAAAAGTGTGATTGTAATGGACATGGAAATAAAGACCAAGGCGAATGCGACATAGATACTGGAATTTGCTTTTGTGAAGATAACACTGAAGGTGATCATTGCGAACGTTGTAAGATAAATTATTTTGGGGACCCCAAAAATGGAAATCAATGCTATTATCAGTGTGAAGCTAGAGGATTGTTGAGAGATCCACAAGGGCAAGGTATCACTTCCATGCAATCCTATATTCCTCCTTGGGGAGGAACTCCTGCAAGAGAATGTTTATGGATAATAAAACCTTACATAAACAGCGGATCAGCCATTATTCAACTTGAGGTATTTTTCAACAAGAATTCTGCACTAGCAATTTTTTTACACATTTGAAGTTATTGTTACATATTAGATTATACGATCAATTTATTTCTCTTCAAGGTAAAATCCTCACAACTCAATGTAAGCTGTGGAGAAAATGCTGTTTATGTTTATGATGGTTTACCAGAGCTGGTTGACATGGGTAGTCAGAGTGCTCTTTCGGCTGTGTTTTGTACAGAGGAAGCCCTTCCAATCAATGTTGTAGAATCTAGAACAGGTATGTGGAAATAGAGGATTGCTGGGATTGCAATAATTTTCCTTACAGTACATTTCAAAATCAAATGGAGTTTAGAGTAGTAACCTGAAGCACTGTTATTTTGTAATCACGATTTTGACCTGAATGGGACAATATATTTTTTGTTAATTGTTTATTAATTTCAAATCTGGAAACCCTCATTTTATTCCATGGGGACAATAGAAAGAAAATAAATTAGATTTTGAGCTTTTCTTTGAGCTATTCAATTTTTGTACACGAAGTTTTGCACTAACTATGGAAATAGAAACCAAGCGAATAAGCACTCAAATCGCCGAGTGATGACTGAAAACTTATGGTAAGATACAACTATTCACAAGTGTCACCAATTTCACCAAAATCGCTTGTGAGTGGAGAAGCATACGTCCTCTTTCATAAAGGGGACGGAACAAAATCGCACCATTGAGACAACTGAGGGAAAGTTTCTTTGTGCAATTATTATTTATTTGTTGTTTGATCATTTCAAACAAATATTAAAAAAAAATCAATTAGATAACTTCCCGAAGACAAACCACGTATCAGAATTATTAAGAGCTATTTCTGAAAAATATGCAGAGTATATCATCGTTAGGTGGGTGGACGATAGCTGCTTTCCCGACAGAGATACAAAATAATTGTTACCAATACAGGGTTTCCAATAAATGTGTGACAGGCCAAACATATGTATTTTCAGATAGAATGATATCGTGTTAGGAATCACACGTTAAAAGGTAAGGCCTCGTTAGTCCTTAGCTCGCACCAGTTACTACTTGTGAGGGTTGTCGTTCCTAGGGGTGCGATAGCTGGTTAAAGGAAAAACCATATTTTGAACATATATTTTTTTAAAACTTGATTGAATTTCTTATGCAGAGCGCTTCTCAAAAATATAGGATTGTTTGGGTTTATACCGAGTGGTTCAGAAGTTATGGTGTAATTTATGTCAAAAAAATGGGTTGATTCAAAACCAATTATCTTCTACTCAGTCAAATAGAATGAGGAAATTTACAAAATACCCTTGATGTTAGTGAATTTTCATTTCGTCTCCATAGGTTTATAGAACGGCGTTTTTTCTATACAGGGGTAAACAAAACTTGTGATCACTTTTTTCTCAGTTTTTTCAAATAGCACACCCTGTGCATAGGGCCATCCCAGACAATCCCACACTATGAGCTTTCATAAAATCTAGGGATTCACTACCTGATTTCCATCGGAAATGTATGTAGTTCTTGGGGAAAGAATGAAAAAGTAATTAATTAAATCTGACTAGAATTTTTCCTCAGACTTCGATAATTGCTTATACTGTAATATGACAAAAAACTTCTTTGAATCAATCTATTTTCCTTCTAATTTTGTCAGTTTTACGCAGTAGGGGAACCCCTCAACAAAATAATAGAAACTTACGTTTTGTTTACTCCTTGTGCAAATTATTCTACTGGCTGAGAGCAGCTTATTATCTACTCGGAATGTAGATCATTTCAATTATATCAAATCACCCTTGGAAAATTTTAATGTCATAGGTATGGGCTTGTTTTATGCTATGGAAAATTATATTGGTTTGCTTATAGACTGATCGAGTTAGGGGTATATTATACTTATCAAGCCTAATCGGTCCCAAAATCTCTTAATGTTTGTAGAAAAAAAAAAAAAATTCGAAAAGCAAGAATTTAAATTGGCCGCGTGTCTGTTGACCAATAAAATTGATTGTGTCTAGAACGGAGTTGCCAAGTGTATTGGTTTTTAATATCCAATCACAGATCTGATAATCCAATTTGACACCATTTTTGTTGTTATTGTTGTCAACTCGGTGTGTATACAACTGTTACAAATATATAATTAACTTTCTGAAATTTGAAGATCATATAAAATATCTGAACAAAAAACTTTCATCTAGCTGTTATGCCATTAGAGTTATCACTAAAGAACTGGGAGCAACTGCTGGTAAAACTGCGTACTACACTTTAATCGAATCTCACTTGAGATATGGTGTCGCATTCTGGTTGTTTTGTAGCAACCAGTTACTACAGTGTACTTAGAGAGACGAAACAAAGTGCACTGTTTTTCAATTCGAAATTTCTATCAGTTGAACTATAAACCAAAAATCATGAAACAAGCCCATTGTCAACAAACTTGACATTTATTGAGAAAGTGAATTTATAATTGAAATTTACTATTTTCTTTCCTCGAAATGAAATTGTCTACTGAAGAAATGATCTACATTCTGGGTGAATGTGACAGAAATTGTTTATTAGCCAGTAGGATGTATGCTGTTTGATATCGAAACTCAAGGTCTATACAACCAGAGAGTTTTTGGAGGTTTAAACAGACAGTGACAAGCATTATAAAAAGTATGTAGTAAATAAAATTGCAAGAAATAGGGAAATGAAGTAGCGATGATGTTTTCAACAGTTGAAAATCCCCATGTAAGTATGAAGAGAGTTTAATTTAAGTCGTACTTCCGTGAACAAAATGTTCATCAAAAATAAAGTTTATCCATACCGAATTTCATTACGTCAAGAACTTTATAAAACAGATTGTGATACCAGAGTTCGGTATTGCGAACATTTTTCGAATTCAATAAGCGAAGAACCGATTATTTTGAAATATGTTTTGTTGTCTGACGAGTCCACATTTGAAAGTAGTGTCATGGTACTACTCAATAGAGAACCCTATTGGATGAGAGAAGTCAATTACCAAAACAAATGGTCATAACTGTTTGGGGAGGCATAATTGGGGATTAGGTCACAGGACCCTATTTCTTTGATGGGTCTCTGAATGGAGAAATTTATAAAGATTTCCTCTGAAATAATTTATCAAATTTATTGGTGGATGTACCGATTGACTAGGCATAGGTCATATTATCATGATGGCTCGCCTCCCCACAACCAAAATTGGGTGAGGAGGTTTTCAAACAGGTGGCGTAGGAATAAATGGATTAGAAGAAATGAACCCATTCACTGATTTTTTTCTATGGAGAAATATGTTGAAGGAGAAGTCTATTGAGGGAAACTAACGATACCAGAATATATGAATAATAGGATTAGAGAAGTTTTTCGTTCTATCTAAAGATCAACTTCAATTGAAGTTCGAAGGGAAATTGTTGATGGACTGTATTTATGCATATCTCAAAATGAAAGATTGTTCGAACGTCTATTGTAAATTTGTGTGTTTAAATTTTTTTAAATTTTGTTACTTGTTTTGTTGAGCACTGAACAAAAAAACATTATTGGTTTTATTTAGTGACTTTGTCATACTTTCTTCAAGAATCAGATACATTTCCGATGGAAATAAAGAAGATATTCCCTACATTTTCTGAAAGCTCTCATTGTGGAATATTCTAGGATGTTTCCATGAACGGAGTGTATCATTTGAAAAAACTGAGAAAAAAAGTGATCCTGAGTTTTGTTCATCCCTGTATAGAAAAAGCGACGTTTGGTAAACTTATGAAGATGAAATCCAAATACACTGTTCTCAAGGATATTTGGTTGAAAAATTTCCTCATTCCATTTGATCGAGTAGGAGAAATTTGGTGTTGAATGAACCCATTTTTTGACATAAATTTCATTATAACTTCTGAACCACCCGGTATAAACCCGTACGATTCTATATATTTGGAAAGCATTCTGCCCAAAAACTTCAATCTAGTAAAAATATCTGTAGTATTCTATTTTGAAACATAAGTTCGGTTTGTCACACATTTATTAGACACCCTCTATATTAGTTATAATTATTGAAACATGGCTTTCATTGATCTCTACAACTTCTTCCTGAAACATTTTTTTCATCTCTAATAGAGAGACAGCTATTGTTTACCCACTTATCGTTGATTAATCCTGTATAGGTATTAAATTCTATTTTATAGCAAAGCAAACTAATTTTAAAGAAACAAAAGCCACCTCCATAATACGTTAATAATTTTCAAGGGACAATAAATTTTTACATTTGTTTATTTGTAAATATTTATTATAATGAATATAAAACCTATTTTTACCATTTACTTTAGATATGCATCGATAAAAATTAATTAGAGGTGTTATTGTCTTGATATAATGTTTATTTGAATTCAATCCATAACTATTTATAGGATTTTATATTTATATTTAAACTTAAATTTAGTACGGATCTGTCTTTGGCGCCAATACCCCTTATCTCACTGGCTTCATTTGCACGCGTCGATAGTCCTACTTATGCACATTCCCTTGGTTTCTACTTCCACGGCACTAATGGTGGTGATAAATGTTTATGACTATAAAATTTATTATGTGTAATTTTAGGCCAACTTACAGTTCATTACAAGCAAGGCCTGTCAGGTGAAAGCTTCAGCGCTATGTATAAAGTGATGAGCTGTGATAATTGCCTACCTCCTCGGGAATGTCGCAATGGTCAGTGTGTTTGTCAAGATGGCTTGGTAGGGTTTGGTTGTGAAGAGGCAATATGTCCAAAAAACTGCAGCCATGATATTGGCCGGGGTTCATGCGACAAATCATATGGCAGGTGTCTCTGTACAGAGGGATGGACTGGGCCTTCATGTGAAACAAAGTACGTAAAGTTAAAAATATTTCAACAACTATAATCGGTTTCACAAATTTTACGAAAGGTACACATGTTCTTTAGAGTTATTCAAAATCAGTTTTTTTGAAGCCAGTAACTTATGATGAGATAGAAGGTATAATTAATGATTTGAGTAAGGAAAAGGCAAAATTAGTTGAATCGGAATTCACACCTCTGCTTCGAAAACTTTTTATTATGTTGTTTGATTCTGGTAAAATTCCTCAAAAATTGAAAATTGCCAAGGTATTACCAATTTTCAAAAAAAAGAAAAAAGATGATTTTAACATCTGTTTTACCAATTATATCCAAAACTCTTGAGAGAGCAATGAATAACAGATTATTGCAATATTTGGAATCCATTTATTTCTTGTATCCAAATGAATATATCTTTTGAAGATCTGGTGTTACAGTGTGTGATGATTTGAATATGATCTCTAATATTCAGGTAGAATTAGATGTACAAAAAAAATGTGACCTTGTTTCATTGATACTGTGAATCATGATTTTTTTTTTCAAAATTACAGTATTTAATTAGTATATGGGGAACTGCTTCAAATACAACTTTGATACCATTGGGGAGTTTACAAAATAAAACTCTAAAATGCATTTTTCATCTACCTTTATTAAAACCGACTAAAAATCTATATGAACAGAAGCTATTACCCAATGTCAATTCTTTTTATAAATCGAAAGAATGCACGTGCCTGCAGTCTTTTTTAAAGAATAAAAAACATTCCACTATGAAATTTATAGAACATAGAAATGTACATGGTCATCAAACAAGATAGTTCAATAAATCTCTTAACAAAAAATGTCAAATCCACATTTTCCAGAAAATCTATATTTCACAAAGGAACTCTCACAATTTTTTTTTTGTTGGAGAAATGAACTCTTACTATTGAAGATTTAAGATTTTGTTTTGTCATTAATTAATTTTGACTATCTGTGGCTGATACCACCATTGCTATTTCAGAAGTCGTAGGTCCTACAAGAACGGTTAAGTGGAACAAAATTTGCCTTTCAGGGATGTAAAATAATGAATGGTATTCTCAGATCGACAAAATCACCAACCGTTTCTGAGACATTTGCAAAAAACTGAAAATGACAGATTTTGTTTTTTGTACTACCGCCTCCAGTTTCAGTAATGTAAAAAAATGACAAAGGAACTTTTTGCTTTATTTCATGTTTTTCATAATCTGGATCAACCCATTTTTCAATGCGACGTTTCGTTCATTGAAATCCATCATCGATATATTGTTTTTTTATACGAACCTGTATATTTTTATTATACATTGTAATTACAAATTCATTGACATATTACAACATATGTATTTTTCGACGTTCCTTCCATAAAACACTATCAAAATTCCATCATTTAACTTTTTTTTCAATGAGAAATCAAATTTCTGAATATCGTTGTAAACACATAGTTAATAGTATCGTAATACACTACATTGAAAACGAAGCAGTTGCGAAAGTAATAAAATAATAAATCGTAGAAAATGAACATCATGAAGGAATGCCTCACGTTACATTTTCAAAGTTACCGTCTTACGCGTTATTGCATCAAATGTTCAAATTGTCTTCCATCATCTCCCAAACAAATAATAGTTCTAGAAATAGTGTGCTTGTGGCAGTTCTCTCACACCTGTGGAGTGATAGCCATACAGGCACTACTGATTGAATCTTTCAATTCCTCAATATTTTCAAAACTTGTTCTGAATACTTGAAGCCCCACAACGAGAAACGTGGTGATTATTCAATAGGACCGTTATATCCTATCCATCTTCCTGGCATAGTTGTATTGAGGAAATCTCTGCACATTCTCCAGCGATGTGGTGGAGCTCCGTCGTGTTGGAAATACTCGTATTTTTTCATCAGGCTGAGTGAAAAATCTTCTAGAAACTCAATTAGAGTCCCTGTTAAGAAGTTCATGTATGATTCCCCGGTCAGAGAGGTTTAAAAAAAGTGGAGTCCAATAATTTTATTATCAAGAATACCAAGGCATACATTAACACCATATCTCTCTTGAAAATTGGTAACTCTATGTATATATTTATTTTCTTGTCGCCAATAATAATGTATATTCCTGTTGAACCATCCGTTACTGGTAAATATACGTTCATCACACCACAAATTGTTTTTGCAAATTTCATTATTTTGGCGAAATTTTCTAGAGAACCATCTACAAAAAACTTTTCTCCTGGTGAAGTCCGTCAAACGCAAATGATAGACTTTCCTGACTCGATAAGGATTGAATTTATTTTTCTTTAAAATTTTCTGTACAGCATAGTGGATACGGACGAATTATGAGCAATCTCCCCCAGGGATACTTCCTTGTTATCAATTTTTTTATTTTCCACAAATACTGAATCAAATAATGAATATCACTTTATCATTATTGTGAATCTTTTTTCAACTCACCTAAACCACCGATTTCATTATCGCCAGCATATTCAGTAACCGTACATTTTCTTTTGGGGGGTTTTTCAAAGGATCCATAATTTCTTAAACTATTTTCAATATGTTGAAAATATCTATGATTAGGTTGTCGTCGTTCAGGATACAATTCCTGATACATTGCCAGAGATTTGGTAGCATTTCTCAAACATCTTGAATAAAGAATCCATAATTTCGTAAACTATTTTCAATATGTTGAAAATATCTATGATTAGGTTGTCGTCGTTCAGGATACAATTCCTGATACATTGCCAGATATTTGGTAGCATTTCTTGAACATCTTGAATAAACAAAAAGCAAATCAACTTTTTGTCATTGGAAAAACTCATGTTTTTCGTTCAAAATCGCTCACCAAATTGAATAACTGTGTTTTATTTTGTGTTTGACATTCACATTCATGTATTTCATGGCTAACTTTAAAAAAAGAAATTATCGCTTTTCATGTTTCTCCTGAATATCATCTATGACTTTTTTGATACAGTATTTTTATTAGTTGATTCTTGTTGATATACTCATTTTCTGAACAGGCAGCTACAAATTTTCAAGAGATATCGGAAAATTATGAATGGTGATATTGATACAGAGATTTTTGGTCTCTCTTTTTCAAGACTACCGTGACAGAAATCTATTTGGATCTCTGTGAATATAAATATTTAGGATCTCAATGAACATCACCGACGGGAGAACTCTTATTTGGATTTCATCGATCTGAGAATACCATTATGTTGCATTCCTAAAAAGGCAGTTTTCAGTTCATTTAACCGTCCTTGTAGGACCTACCGTTTCCGAAATAGCAATAGTCGTATCAGCTAAAAAACGGCCATAAATTGGGAAATTTGACGATTCTGCAAAATACCTGGGAACTCTCGAATTCGTCACTTGAAATATTTGGCAATTCAACCTAATTAATTTCCCGTTATCTTGTGACATATTAACTTATCTTCAATAACTATCAGCCTAATACCATACCTTTATATGGAATTGAATTTTCCAGAGTCTGTAGTAATTATATCATATTTAATTTTGTTTTAGGCAAACAAAAACCCAACTTATATTCACCGAATTATTCAATACTGTTAGTTTGGCAGATAGTTTGGAACATCTTCGGAAAACCCTCCCTCGTTTTGGCCATTCGCTTGTTTCAGATCGTAGAGGAGCACTGTGGATGTTTGGAGGTTATTCTTTATCGCATGGACCTCTCAACGACATCAGACAGTTCGATACTAAAAATCTAACTTGGATGCAAGTGACGGTTGAGTCCACACCTGACGCCAGAATGCCAATGGGGAGATATTTCCATGGTTCAGATATTGTCCATACCCAAACCATTTATGTTTATGGTGGATTGACCAAGAAAGTAAAAAATTTCAACAACAGGACACTGGACGATTTCTGGCAATTTGATATACAAAATCAACGCTGGAATGAAATAGAGAAAGGAGACTTGTGGCCTCCCGCTGTAGCTGGTCACACTTTGACTTATCACAAAAGTCAAGACTGCTTATTATTGATTGGAGGGGTATCACCGCAAAGTGGTTTTTTGAATTTTGTGTGGGAATATAGGCTGGAAAAGAAGCAATGGCAACCTATGAATACAAAAGGAAAAGGACCTCCTGGAATCTTTGGGCATACTACGGTTTATCACGCACAAAGTAACAATGTTTATGTTTTTGGTGGTGTGTTATTTGAAAAACAGTTGGCAACTGTTTCTAATAATCTTTTCATGTTCAATTATGATAATAAGACTTGGACTAAACTGAATAGTCTTGATGGTGCAGATCACTGGGTAAGTATATTCAGAAAAAGTTTTGAAATTTCCAAATTACTAATGGTCATCTTCATTATATCATTATCAATAATAAAACCTTTACACCTATCAAGAATCTAAACCTTATTTTGTAACGTTTGGTAAAAAAATTGATGAATAGAAAATCCATAGGAACATGTGTGAATTTTGAAATTTTATTGAGTTTATAAACATTTTCATTGGTTCTTTTGATTCAAATCTTCAAATAATGTGTGGTAAACTTATGAAGTAAATCAGACCAATTTATTAAAAGATTGTTATAATATATTTCTATATATTCATAAAAATGATATAAAGTAGAATTCACATATCCTCAATACTAGGAAAAAAATTCCATTCATTTATGATTTTCAATCGAGCGAAATTTCTTACCGGTGAGTATTTATTTGAGGTCTGCGAACAGAAAAAAGTCGTTTGTCTTGTAACATGGTGCGTTGTCTTGATGAAACAAAATGTTTTCCTTTGCCATATGCGGTAATTTTTTTGCAATCTCGACCTTCAAACGCCCCAATAATGCTATATAATATTCACAGTTGATGGTATTTCCCTTCTCAAGATAGTCGATAAATATTACACCACGCACATCTCAAACTACCGAGGCCATAAACTTTCCAGCCGATTGTTGTGCTTTCGGTCGCTTTGGACGAGGTTTGCCAGTAAGTCTCCACTCAGATGACGATTGTTTTGATTTCGGAGTGAAGTGATGTATCCATGTTTCATCCTTTATCACATATCAACTCAAAAATTCCGGTTTGTTATATTCAAACATGGCCAAACACTTCTCAGAATCATAAAGACGTTATTGTTTTTGGTCAACAGTAAGTTCGGGCGGCTCCCTTTGAAAAGAGCTTTTTCATAGTCAAATACTTATGCAATATAAATGCAATGTTACTGTCTCATTTGGACGTCCACTGGGTTCTGCATCATCGGTGTCTCTAATACCACGTTTAAAGTCGGCAAACCAACGTTCATTTGTTGTTAATTATGGAGAGGATTCCTTAGAACACTTTTCAAGGTATTGCTTCGCTCGAACGGTATTTTCTCCCATCAAGAAGCAGTGCAAAATTAAAACACGAAATGTTTTTTGATCCACTCTTAGCACAATAACTCACAAAGTTATGAGTAGGATATCATGAAATTTCAACAGCTTTCTTTTGAAGGTTAGTACTAACTGAAAAAGCGGTGATTGCAATAAAACTAGCGCCATCTATATGTTAGACCCACGATATTTCAGCCCAGGTAGTAACATTCAGATATTATAAAGAAACTTACTATTGTAATAAAATATATATTTGATTTATTTTGTAATATATGATTTTTATTGCCGCTCCCATGATCTAAATTAGCTATTAGACATCTCTGTGAGGGAAGTTGTTATCGCCACTTGCCCAGGATTGTTCTTATTAAGAACAGGAGTACACATGTTCAATCCATAACCCAGCTTAAGACCGTTGATGGAGTGCAAAATTGTCAAATCGTTAATGATCTCACTTTATATTTCTGAAAGATAATAACGTTACATTCATAACCTAGCTACTACAGCTGATGAGATCTGTGGCAGATCGAAACAGCGGTGTCTGGTATGTGATTTGTCAATCGTCATTTTGTCAATTCTCATTGTGTTATCGGAAGTGTTTGTCTTCATCAAAACAAAAAATGAACTTAAACTGTATAACGACATGGGTGACAAATACAAGTCCTCTGGAAACCTCCATTCACTACATTATCTTTAAAAGTGAGGTCTGCATATCTCATCAACTTTAAAATTCAAGAAATCAGTGAAAACTCTGCCTGCCGATATATCCTATTATAAATATTTTAGCGAATATTTTTAATACTCTGGGTATAGTTTTTTGCTATATTTGTAATAATATCTGTCTTTATATCTTTTGTATTTGTTGTTTTTATCACATGATTTTATCGTTATATTTATATTTTTTTGGACTTTGTTGTCAATAAGATGCAAATTTTCAGATGATAAAGTATACATACTACATACATTGATTTGATTTGATTGTAAGACATGATATAAGAGATTGATAAATTGATATATCTATTATATCATGGATGCAACACTTTTTACCTCTGGTATCATGTAATTAAGGGACAGTTGCAATGCTGATTAAGGAGTACAGTATTATTAAATCATCTCCAATATTCCCTTGCCTTCAGTTCATGCTTCTTGAAAAAATAATTAAAATTAACTTGAAGTATAATGTGTTAATTAAGTGTTTACCATTTTAGCCTCGTCCAAGATATTTCCATTCAGCTGTTACCACAGACGACTACATGATGCTATTTGGAGGAAGGATGTACCCGTGGAACATAACTGATACTTTATATGTTTATTCCTATAACTGCAATAAATGGATGAACTTGATGTCAGATGGTATGTTTTGAATAAATAAAATTTTATTCTCAAAATAGAAAACAAGTGAACGGTCTCAAATATGTTCATTTATATCACTGTACACTTCTTTTTAGTGTTTCATTAAGTTTCTGTATCAATCAAACCATATCATTTCAGCTGTAGAGAAGGTGGGGCCTCCTCCAACTCAAACATATGCCCAAGCCATGACTGTCGAACCAGACGGTGATGCTATATATACAATTGGAGGTTGGGGAATTGATACTCAAAGTACTGTTTTGAGGATGGAGCTCCCAGCCGATTTGTGTAACTTGTTACCAAAGAAATTTAACTGCCTTCACATGGCTGGTTGCGGTTATTGTGCTAACGGAATCGCTGGAGATGTTGTTAGTGAACAGTGCCACACAAATACCAAAGAATGCTCTTTGGAAACTTTAACGAATGGTAAGTTGCATTATTTTGGAATATATTTTTTATGCTATTGACTTCGAAAGATTTTGACTGAAAATCCAACTGCTTTTAAACTTGCCTGATAACTAGAACTTTTTTTAAGCGTCTCTAATAACAAACCAAGGAGAAATATGTACGATGTACAACTTCCAAACTTCTGCAAATAACTGTTCAATATCTCAGGATTGTACTTCTTGCCTGCAAAATAATTGTTACTGGTGCCAGGAAAAATGTATCAGTAATAATAGTACTTGCATGACCTTGGAGAAATGTCCGTACAACCAATGTGTCGCTACAGATTGCATTCAGTGTAACCAGATTCCTGGATGCGATTGGAACTTTTCCAACCGTCAATGTGTATCAGGTGAGTTGAATGCTTCAAATATTTGTTCATTTTCGGAAAGTAAATTACCCATTAAATCCAATATGAATTTCAATTCATTTAAAAATTATCATATTATGTAAAAGGTCAATCGTTATAACTGGAGTTTTGGTAAATCACATATATTTATATATAGTTACAAAACTTTCTTTTGCATTGGTTTCACGACTGTTACCAAATACAAAGTGTCACATACACTAAGAGTAAAAATGGAAAGTCTTACAAATTTATGGATACAAAAAATGTTTAAATTTTTTTGACATTTTTTTTAGGTTATTGAAGTCATGTAAGACAATCAAAAGACTTAACCAAAAATATTTCATCTCTGTAAAACAAATTATTACAACTTTTTAAAAGTTTTTATTTTATTTTGATCATTTTAGAAACTCAAAAGGTACATCTGTTTTGACAAATTTGCTTGTACTCTTACAAGAACATCTTTTAGAAACTGTTAGTAAGTTTAAACAATTGTTTATCCAAGAAATCCAAGATCTTATATGATTGAAACTTCATAATTCAGAACCAAACTTGGTAATCAAAATGTGCATAACCATGTAATAAAATAAATATGTGTCGACGGATTTAAAATCTATGAGAAGAAAAAAATTAATGAAATATTCAAAATCTAAACATACCAGGAACACAAAGTTAGAATGAGTTAGTTAAAAAGGAAAAAAATTGTTAAAAAAAAAACAAGTCGTTGTGACACGAAATAAAAATGAATTAATGAATAAACTAAGCAATGAATTAAATAACAATAATATGTAAACAATGTAAATAAAAATATAATAATGAAGATGAGTTATGAAAAATTGCAACAAAATGTAAAAAAGAGGCAAAACCATGATTTGATACTNGCACCACAAATAAATGTCAAATTTAGATAGTGTGTATTTCATTTTTATGTGCCACAGAAAAACTGCATTTTTTATTTTTGACATAAGCAATTTCATAAATAGATAAAGTGGAGGGAGCTGTGAAACTTTCACAGTTTTTTACTGACACAGACAAATAAACCTCATAGTATCTCCTGACATTTTTTAGTACAAGTACAAAAAAATACTCCCTATCAAGATTTTTTAAATAATTGAAGTAAAATATATCATTCAAAAACGTTTTTGAAAAGTATGTGAATTGGTTCTCTGTTTCTCACAAGTTGTTTGACGAAATTTCCATAGATGACATCACAGTGCCGCCATATTGATGTTGGAGAAAAGGGCACTTACAGCATAAGAATTTTAAATAGAATATTTTTTTGAAGCATTAGATTATATATTTCTCATTCATTTTATATAATTGAAAATAGAATTTTATATTCTATCGAATAATTTAGAAAAATGTACATGTTTCTATTTCAAATTCTTGATTTAAGTTAATTTCCGATTAAACTGAAATAGCTTATTTTCATTAGAAATATAGGCTCCAAGGAACTATATGTTCGTTTTGAACTTCAAATATCTTACCCCAGAAACAACTAGATGGCGTCTTGTACAATGAGTTGTTACTAACTGGTATTATTTAGTAAATCTTTCCATTTTTATTCAGTTGTTAGCCTGAATCTTTTGAACAGATTATCTCTGTTGAATGGTCTGTCCGCTTATTATCTCTAGAAATTATAACAATAATTGCCAATGTCAAAGAATACATAATGGTACTATCTTGGAAAGTTGTTTTTAACCATTATACATTGCTTTGTGAATTTCATGGAACATAAAAAATGGTCAATTTTTGTTATTGGGAAGTCTCAATGATCAGCTTTCTGAATGTATTGAAATTCCACATATGCTTTTTTATTTGTGTTTCTATAAATACACTCATTATTATATAATTTACTAGGAAAAAGATGAATCACTTCTGAATATCAGTATAACATACGAATGGCATTATGTAAAATGCCCGCCTGAAAATGAATGCAATAACGGTCATCACAGTTGTGTTGAAGAATCTGAAATATGTGTAGACCTTGAAGAAGGTTTCGAATGTCGATGTGGTCCTGGATACAAAGCTGGTCTGAATGGATGTGAACCTATTTGTTCCTTGGGTAAGTTCTTGCATTGTAATTCTTACTTGAGATCCATTTTTCTTTCATCACAAGTTTTTTCCTGTTAAATTACTAATTACTTACTTACTCCAGACAACTTTCAAATAATATTTTTGATTTTGACTAGGACTTGAAATAATACTTATCAGCTATAAAAAAACATAATACCTGAAAATTGTATCTCATGAGTTTATCATTAAATAACATTCTGCATTTATTTTCTATGAATAGGTGTGTAATCTACACAATTTGAGTTTAATATAATATCAAAATAGGATGAACCAAAGAAAACAAAAAATATAACTATCACTGGAGTAAAATAAATCATTGGGCATGCATACTTTTAAAATTTTTTTCTCATCAACTTGCTGAGTAGAGTTACTGGTATTTCTAAAATTTTAAATGGCAGTCGTGATTGACAAACACATTTTGTATAATAATTCTTGTTTGATTGATGATCTATTCATTTTGTAGCAATTCATATTGAATATAGGATAAAGAAAATAACTTAATAAGATATTTGTTATTCTCTGAGTTTTCTTTTGGTTGTAATCTGGTAAAATTGAGAGACCATTATGTGAAGTGTAAAATTACATTTTTATTCAATTGGTCTACGTATTTTTGTCTTATATATTTTTGTATTTGGAATATAGCAGACAATATTCTTCAAGAGAACTGCTTTTTATAATATCATATTAATATTTAGCAAGCCTACTGTCAATCATTCAAGGTAGAGCTTCATTTTCTACCAGTTTTCCTGATTCGATGTTATTGTTTGCCAAATCGGCGTTTTTTACAATGCCAGATCAAACTTTTGAAGCTGAAACTTCATCTTGTGATTTGAGCTACATCGAATTATCTGTTGATTTTCTAATACATTTCACAATATTTTTGTGGGTTTCTAGCAGAATCACCAGACATTCTTTGTCCTGTTTGCGAAAGAAAATTCATATACAGGGTGTTCCATCTCAGACGAGCCACCCCGTATATTTCTTATTCCATAGTGAGTGGAAAAATTTCCCGAATAATTTTGTTTGGGGGACATCTTTTGACGTACATTTTAGGCTTGAACGAGCAACCCCTTAATATGGGGCTATTCAACCCCTCAAACTTGAATAGGGGAGAGGGGTTGAGTGATACTTTATTTGAAAGGTCTTGGAAGCCTCTTTACAACGGTGTATGAAAAACGTAAATTTGATGAACCGTTTTCGTCAAAAATCAATTTTGCATACCCAGTTTCACCCATTTTCTTCTGTTAGTTGGTATAATTTGTTATGAAGTGCCTAATTCACACATATTGTTCGGATTGGCTTCTTGTTGAGGTGATACCTCAGGTGTCTAATTTATTATCAAAAGAAAGCTATTGAAATTTACTTTAGGGATTACGTTCTGGTGATGACATCTCCCCCAACGAAAACGCCATCTATGTGATCGACCGAAGAATCAATCCACGAATATCAAAGATGAACGAGGCTCTCCAAGGTGGTCTGCTGCAAAGTCAAGCTTCGACGACAACCGCCAAACGAGATTCGTCTTCTGTCTTTCACTACAGCTTTTACTGCATGGCAACTAGATGAAAACGGCGCTGTCTGGTGTTGGATCAGGCATGATTTATCTTTGGGTTCTAGTATTATCTAGTTACCTCTCAGCGTAAGACAGAATAAATCTTGTTTGGCGGTCAAATTCAAAGCTTGGCCTTGCAACAGCCGCCTTGAGAAGTCTAGTTAATTTTTGATATTCGTGGATTGAGTCCTCTGTCGATTCCATAGATGGCATGTTTGTAATAAGATGTTTTACACCTGTAACAATAAATTTCAACCGTGTGAGTTGTCTTTTTTTTCAATTGTCATAACTTCGCCTCTATTGATCCCATTGAAATTAATTGTAAAGTGACTACGTATATTGATTGAATATTGCCTTAATGCAGTTCGAATTGTTAGAAATGAGATGGACATATTGTAAACGAATATTATTTGAAAATTATAGTACCAATCAGATTTTTTTAACAAAATAGAGTTTTTGCTTACTCTGAACGATAGATTTCTTGGTCACTGAATTGGGCGAAGAGATGCTCAGTATCTTTGATACTAGGTGTTCAAATTTCAAAACCGAACTGTACTGAAATCTAATTGGAAATAAAATATAATAAAACAATAAAAACAAAATCAGAATAAACAAAAACAATTGAAGACCTTGTTCTCCAGAAGGTGGCACATTCGTTTTTGCTACAAGCATCATCTTGGAGAGAGTCTTCACTGTACAAGGTATCTATATTTTCTAGCACAGAAGTGATTATACAAAAATTTTATTTCTGATTGCTATATTGCCATTTCAAATTATGCCAGTTACCTCTCAGGAGTTGAAATGATGAAAAGATGAGAGGTGTGAAAATGTGCACAACCAGCCGATTCCTCTTTTCAATAAAACCAAATCGTTTCTTAAAATGATGTTAAAGACGCCCTGTATTAGGCATCGAAACCACGTGTTATTATTTAGTCAAACTGCAGTATAGATGATCTGATTTATTTGTTTGGATCATGTATGAAATACATTCATTTCCTTAAATGGACATTCAGAGTCTACTTGGATTATTTTCTTTTGAATTTTTTAAGATTTTACCATTTTACTTATGTAAAATCATTGACAGCAACTCTTCAGCAGCTTATCAGATATATTATGATGGTGTTAGAAAGTTCCATTTGCTGAAAAAGGTTTGTTTCGTTTGTCTCAACTCACCACAGCAGTGTCTTTCTACAGGTTGTTTACCGCCTTATAATCATAATTTGAGATTTTGCCGTTTAATTACAAAAGTGAATCTATATATCATGATGACATAAAGACATGGCAACGGCGGATGTCTAAAAAGTCCCTTTTAACGATTTGCAAATCTAACATGTCCATCGCTCTATTATAATAATAATAATAAAACGTCTTTATTCACCTGAAGTAAGAAAATACAGAATATACAAAAAAATATTGGAGTGAATGGGCGGAGTGTCAGCAAAGCTGTTTTTAAACTCAACCTTCGAGAAAAAAATGAAATTTGAAGTGAATAAATGAAAATTACAGTAAATACAAACAATTTCAAAAAAATTATTATTCAGTCACTAAATCTTTTGTGTTTTTGNTAGGATCTGAATTCACTGGGCAGGAGATTGTAGAATTTAGCTGCGTTGTATGAGAAGCTGCGAGTAAAAACAGAAGACCTGTGTTCAGGAATGACCAGCACCGACCTGTTTCTAGTGGAAAAGCTGTTAATATTAGAGAAAGAATTCAGTTCAATTGGAAATTATTTAACTCTAGTGATTATTCTCTGCTTGTATTTCCACAAAATGTCGATATATTCAATATTTAACGAGAATAAGCAAAAAACTGCATGGTCAAGGCAAAGCTAGGTTTAAAAATCTTCGAATTTCAGATTAACCAATTGTAGTTCATCATGCAAGTTGAGAATCTTAGCGACTGGAGAAATGTACAGTAAAATGGATTAACGGGGTCTCTCAGTTAATAGATATGATAAAAAATTGCAATTCACTATCGAAATAAAAAATAATCAGACCCTTCCTTTTCTTGATACAAGAGTTATTCTTGAAACTGATAATTCCTTGATCACTGATTGATTGGTATGTCAAACCTACTAATTCAGGAAGATATATCAATTACTAATCTTTTCATAAATCAATTTAATACTGTGTTTGAAAAAAAGAATGTACACCCTTCCCTCAAACAAAAAAATCTTCTTAGAGACATATTGATCGAAAATTCCTATCCCAGAAAACTTCTCAATAAAATAATTTTCAATACTGGCAGTAATACAAATTCCGATGTAATCAACAGAAATTTATGTAATAATAGTTCACCTATCAATTTTTCTTATAAATTTATACCTAATCTTGGAAATTCATCTTCAAATATCATAAAACTTTTTCATAATGAACAAAATATGCCAAAAAAATATTAAAACTATAAAGGTCTACTCAAACTGCAGTTTGTATTAGTTGCGTATTTTAGAGACCTATTCAATGATGTAAAGAAATCGAATATAGCTCTTTTGGTTCTGGAGATATACAGGAAAAACAAAAAAATCCCAATAATCATTGGCTGTCGCGGGCCGGATTGATGACACTGGCGGGCCGGATTGATGACACTGGCGGGCCGGATTTGTCCCGCGGGCCGTAGTTTGAAGATCCCTGCACAAAATTAGTCATGAAAACTGATATTTTTCAGACAAGCAAGCATAAGAATCATATAAAATTACCTTCTATTGACATAGTAGGATGCGAGCGATTTTACTCATATTATTGACACTCAACACAGCTAGCTGTTGGCTGATCATTGTCACTACCCCAAACTTCACCAACAAACAGGCGAACGTTATTACACAACCAGACGGGTACATCTGTGTAATTAGGACATAAAGGTGGTAAACAACTTGAATATGAAAAGATTTCTAAAAAAATTGGAGATTTATCTAAAAATTAAAAACCCATCATAAACTATGAACTTGAACAAACCTAATGCCATTTATAAATGATTGAAGATTAAGCCCGAATTACATTAAATAATATTTGCCATTTTCAAAACAGTATTTTATGTTGAAATACTGAAAATATTTACCATGTCATTCTTTAAATACTATCATCCTTTGAACTGTAAATATGAAAGTTTTGAATGGAATCGATTACATGTTTTTTTGAATCAAAAATAGTAAAAAAGCTTGTACATTCACTAGTAGCTGCATTAAGAAATTGCAACTTTTCTGTAACAAACATATATAGGAAATAATATTACTGGAGTTTTATCCCAACATCAAACCGTTATTTTTAACACTTCAACACGTGTTTCAATCACCAAGTGATCATCTTCAAGGTGTTTAAATAATGGTTTTGTAAAACTCCAGTAATATTTATTACTACACCAAAGGTTCCAAACAGTGCATCACAAGTAAATATAGTTATGGATGGTTTGTTATTCATATGAATTCCAATTTCAGAACCAAGTGCGGCTAGTGGTCCTATTAAATTTTGTGTGTTTCTCCACGAAAATAACATCAGTTACCCAGAAAACATTGCCAATTTTAATTGTTGATTATAAGAAATAATATTATTAGTATATAATTGACTTTTGTACAGTAATCGAATCTATTCATTATTTATTTTGTGATTATTTCATCTCATTAATGTTTGTATCGTTGATTGCTTGCTTTGCTAGGCTGTGTCCGTGGTCAGTGTGTCCAACCTAATAAGTGTCTATGCGACTTTGGCTATGTTGGTGCTAATTGCAGTATCCAATGTCAGTGCAATGGCCATGCTAACTGTGAAGGCCCCGACAAATTGGATAAGTGCTTGTCTTGCCATAATAACACCATGGTGAGTTTCTCACCTGTTCTGTAGAAACCACTCAATATATTTCATTATGTTTCAGGGAGAGCAGTGCGAAAAATGTAAGCCATTATTCGTTGGAGACCCAGCAGACGGGGGTTTGTGTGTTCCTTGTGTAGAGTATTGCCATGGTCACAGTTCGTTCTGCGTTGATAATAGCACTGATCTGGATCCAGATGATTATATTGACTATGAATATCTTAATGAAAATTTAAAAGAAGGTCCTAAAGCAAATGCCCGCTGTTTGAGGTGTGCCAACTTAACTTCAGGCCCTCGTTGTGATGAGTGCATTATTGGTGAGTTACCTTTAATTTCTGATCAAAAACTGATTTTCATGTGATCAAATCATTGTTTTATTTTCATACTCTGGTTGTGATTGTAGAAGTTTTTAAGTTTATATGTTGTCAAAAATTCATTCATCTTTGAAAATAATCGATATTCATTGCTATTTTCTATAACAAATAATGAAACTCAGCTTTTTCAAAACTTTGTATTACAGTTCAATTCATTTACATCTACCTTGTCTAATAATTATATTAAGATTGGCAAGTAACCTTATTTTCAAATCCTTGTTTTTATAGAATAAATCATATATGCTTTTTCTGATTGATTCGGCCGTTACTTGATGAAGATCCATAATAATTTCAAAAACTACACCTTACGATTTGATCTCCACAAACTTTATTTTGAAAAGTATATCACAAAATGTTTCGCTAGCACAGTAGCTTTTTCAAGTGATTTATACTTCAAGTTGTTCTTACATTAATATTTATATACTACAGGTAACCAACAATTGAAACTACCTCAAAAAAACTACCTAAACCTCTACCTAAGGTACCTGTTCAATTATGATTACCCGAAGCATATTACCTCACATCTACATCGATAATAATTCTTTCTCGGTTTTTAAGAAAACAAGTTCAATCATGACCTATTCAAATTCAGTTGGTCATTCATTTGAATGTTTGAATTTTTAAGTTTATTAATTTCCATTGCTTCCAAATGATTCAGTTTCAAACCTTTATTTTCTATGTGCAAAATTTCGAACTCTTCATCAAAGATATGATTTTCTTTAATACGTTGGGAAAGTTAGTTAAAAATAATAAAAGACAAAACATCCAAATTCGAGAAATCAGGAGTATATGAATTGAGTGTGGAACGTGCCCTAAGGTATATATTGGTCAAACGGGCAGGACATTCAGAAATCGAATCCAGGACCATCATACGAGCTATGCAAATAAGAAAACAAATTCAGCATATTCAAATCATCTTCTAGAAGAAAATCATATCGTTGATGAAAAGTTCGAAATTTTGCACATAGAAAATGAAGGTTTGAAACTGAATCATTTGAAAGCAATGGAAATTAATATACTTGAAAATTCAAACATTCTAATGAATGATCAACTGGATTTGAATAGATCACCATTATTGAACTTGTTTGATTATTTGCCTAGTCAGAGTTGTTAAAGGAGTTCCTATTTTTGAACAGAAGACAAATCGTTTCAAATATACACAAGGGGACTTTTATTGGGATTCTGTTAGAAATAAAAAGAGGTCGACAAGAGTCCCGAGGCTTGCCTTTACATATGCAGTGTATTGCACGTTTTTGTAACACTAGTACTAATTGAAAGCATGTGATAAAACAGAAGCAAATACTATTTAAAAAGGTGGGATTCAGTAACAAACCATTCTAGCTACTGTCGATCCAAGCTCTGTTGCAGATACTCGTAATGCTATTTCCAGAGGAGAGTTTGGATTTCAGGCTAATCACATGATTGTCAAACTTTAAATTATTATCAATGAACAAGTCAAGGAATTCAGAGTTGGATACATTATCAGTTAGAATATGAATATTGTTAATTAAGCTCAAGAGGTTCCACTCAAATCAGTGTTTCACTCTCTTGATGTTACTCTCAATAGCTTTATACAGCCGACTACTATTAGGTGTATGCTAAAAATTGTGTTGTCATCAGCAAATAAAATAAAATATCTTGGATGTTGATGTATGTTGAATCAATAATCCATACTATGAGTGAAAGTGGGCCCAAGACCGAACCTTGGAGGACTCCACAAGTTATTTTCCCTTCATTGCAAATAATTTTGCCTTAATTTGGGTATGAAGTGGTTTTGACAATCTGAGTGTGATGGTATGACTCAAACCACTGGCACCGAGACTTACACTATATCTACTAAGTTTCCGTAAAATAATTTTTCATGATTCATATCATCAAATGCTTTGGAAAAATCACAGAAAAGAGCTGCCACTATTTCTTTGTTGTTTATATTATTATAAACATTGCATGGAAATGCAAATATGGCACCATTTGTTTATTTCTGTTTCTGGAAACCGAACTAGCAATCATTTATAATTTGTTTCCATTCAGAAAACAAAGAAGTCTTGTTTCAACTAATTTTTCAACAATGTAGCCATTGTAGAGATTAGATAAATCAGGCGATCTCTCCGGCCTTTGGAAGTGGTAGTACGATCCACTTTTTCAAAAAGCTGGGAAAAATCTTTTAAACAAATCATTCATTACACAAACTAAGATATAGTACTCTTATAGTAATATTCACTAAGTTTTTTTGATATATTACTGAATTTATCCATCCTATTTTTGTAAAATTTGCGTTTGGATAGTTTGATAACATTTCTGTAAATGGTTCAGTGATGAAGAAAGTAATGAATAAACAATGGAGCAGATGTAAATTTCCTGATTAAATGTAGCACTCTTAGGTATTTTGTCAACCAATTTTCTTTCTCAAATTCAAAAATGGGATATCAGAAAGTTCTTCATAATTTCATTCAGAGGACGGACACATTTAAGGGAACTGACTGTATTTAATCATTTAAATTATACAATCTTACATTTTGATTTATCTGCATTAAAATTGAAAAGCGCCTTAGAAAAAACTGCTTCATGATCTGACAATCCAGAAGGAAGAACATCACAAGAAACTAAGTCGAAATCTAAGTTGGTAAAAAAATAATCTATGTTGGAATCTGTAAATTATGATAGGTGTATAGAAGATCATACATGCATTTCCTACTTCTAAGTTTTCAATGAATAAATTAACATTTGGGTTTTTTGATTCTCGGTTTGTATAATTATAATGAATGAATGTCATTACGATGTCATCGATGACATAAGCAGATCAAGCTTATTCCGTGACATTCAAAATCGTAATTCATGAATGAAGTGTGTGTATTTTCTATAATGTTATCCAATTTGGTACTGAAGAGCCTTAGGGCAAGTGTCTTAAGGCGAAACACGTGTATACCAGTTAGGGTGACAGTGTTCCATGTGAGTACAATTTATTACCATTCATTCAAAGTAGAACTCATGTGAATGATATCTGATTCTTATTCCTCCACGAATGTTCGATATACAAACTGAATAGAGAAAAGTATCTTCTGTATAATTCAGTGTTCATATAGAAGTATTTGTTTCGAAAGAATTTTTTCTTTCGTGTAATTCAATGTTTATATGAAGAGGACTTTCTTTCAGTTTGTGTCTGAAAGTTACTTCTTTGCATGATCTACACATCCATGTATAGAGTTACTTATTTTCAAATTGATTAATCCTTCCTTTCTTTGGAATATTTTCTCATCCATTTTTTTTGTATCAGATGGAGTAGTAGAAAGCCAAAAACTTTCTTTCCCAAAAAATTAATCACTCCTAAAAATATAACCCTTTCAAATCAATATTTAAGTCTCCAGTTGAATTGACTTATACTTTTGGAGATAATTTACAGAGAATAGACTCCAGTCCGTTGAATAATGTATGTATGCCTTTAATTTAGTATAGTAAATTGTCGAAAATTCATATACCCTATCTTTCAGAAAATTATTAAATTTATCTACTACAATAAATTTCAATATATTCTGTAAATACTATCTTACTAAAAAAATTGTTGTTCCTCGAAGAGAGGATGTTCTACAGAGTTTGGATTCAACATTGTACTTTAAGACACGCACAGGTTCATCTATCTTCACTAATTTTCAACAAGTATTCAGATATAGATCCTGAATAGACAAATTATCTAATGAAATGAAAATATCAGAGAATTTATTCTCCAGCGATTGAATATTCCGTTACGTTTTTACCGTTCAACTATATAGTTAAACTTCAGTACTACACTGACACAAAAACTTTAACTGAACTTCAGACTAATAGTCAAATGTCTATCGTCTTATTAGCTCACTTCGTGACTAGTCCCATCTATCTGTTGGTAGTGCTTATATATCCCAATGGAAGTCTTCGGAAGCTGATAGAAATATTCTCGAATCAACGCAACACTTAGAACGATAGAGCGATAGTTGCGTTGTGAGCGACCTCGGTCAAGTCACAGTTTTTTGGGTAGAAACAGCAGTCTGTCTTTAGTTTGGCTGTTATCTACTGTGAAATTGTCGGCTAATATTAAAGAACCAAATTTCACAATTTCCTAGGTAAAGTTTTGAAATCTATTAAAAAATTGCTTTACTTTCTTCTGTATCATTAACATTTGGGGGTTTAAATATTGGACTCGTATTTAAATTTACATTTTCTGAAGTTGTCCTGAAAAGAAATTCAAGGGACACTATTAAGTATACGAGGTAGGTTAGAGAGATTTAAATCGTTATAAGCCACGACTTTTAGATTAGTGCATTTGCGACGATGTTTTTCAAATGTCAGTTTTTGTAAATGTAAGTGTTTAAATCAAATAAATTCGGCTTGTTTGACAATTTTAAAAACTATTCCGTTTTGGAATATTAGTTGTATCTGTCACTCAATAATTTCGAAATTTTACGACACAAACGATTTTAGGCAATTTCCGAGGTTCTGAAGATCATAAAGATCCATGCCGTCCATGTGATTGCCACGGGCATGGTGATACTTGCGATCCTATTCACGGAGACAAATGCAACTGCCAAAATAATACCGAAAGTGACGTTTGCCGAGGAGTAGCGGACAAAAACTCTGCCCATCCCTGCTGGATGGTTCAGTGCTCTAAATGTAAGGATGGTTATTTGGGAACGCCCACTTCAGGTCATCAGTGTTATAAACAAATGCACGTTGACAACAAGATGTGTTTTGATGCCAAACCAATGGGTGAGTTAATTTTTTTCCACTACAAAGTCATCATTCTTATTTAAATTAACAAGCGCAATTGGTCCTCTATGTTTAATTGTTGTTGTTGTTTATAAATTTGATATGAATATTTTTTGGCAATATGTAATTGAATTTATGGTACTGAAAATAATAAGTAAGTAAGCAGTAAACGGTAAGCAGTAAGCAGTAACTTTTGTATTTTTTGCTTTGATCTACTTAAATAAAAGAGAATATTTCAATTTTTATCGACAAGTAGGTCCTTTTATGCTTTTGTGGTATTTTGAACTTGTTTGAGGAATTTCTAAACCCTTTTCAAAATGTTTTGTTTTTCCCTGAATATTTTTTAGATGATTAATGACTTTAACAATTTGCATGAGTTTCACGAAATGTATCTGCCTAAGAATAATATGTACTTTGACCTTGATTTTGAAAAATTTAATACTAGTTATGATTTCTTGAATTTAAATTTCAGATGAATGTAAAATGAAACCAAAACCTTTACACCCTGGAGATGTGGTATTTTTTGTGATACAACCTCGATTTATGAATGTTGATATCAGAATAATAATAGATGTGACCCAAGGCAAATTGAACGTTTTCATGAGCACCCATGATGATACTTACATTGCCTACCCGAATTCTACAACAGGCCTTATTGACATCGATGTCGATGGTCAATATGGACACTGGGAAAATGGCAGTCTTAAAGCGAAAGATTCTTATTTTGAAAAATATGCAATGGGATTGAGGACATATATTACTATTACACAGCCTAAAACAATATTGCTTGTGAAACATTTGCAGGATAGACTAGTTATCACACTACCTGAGGTAAGAATTTTAAAATCATTGTGTGAATACTTGCGAATTTAATAGTATCTATCTACTATTTTTTAGTTCCTGAAAAAATTGACCAGTTTGTACATTTATTTTTAGTAAACATTTTTTTTGTATATTGTTAAAAGTAAACTTTCTAATAGGGAAAAATATAAATTCACATGATTATTTTTCATAGAATTGTGAAATAATACTGAAAACTGATGAGAAATATTCGTAACTTTAAGATAATTTTTCTATATTAATTACAACAAATTATGAAATTTCTATGGAATCTAATACCGGCATTTTTTTCTCATTTATTTGCAATGCCCGTCAAAAACTTTGAAAAACTCTTGATTGAAAAAACTTCTTAACAGTTAAATGGATTGTTTAAACCTGAAATACATTAGTTAATTTCAAATTTCCATTATACATTCTGGAATCATTTTTGAGTTTACACTTTTTCAAATACTATTTATTACGATTTCTTTGGTAACATCTAAAAAACTTCATTAGCTGCCTCCTTGATATTTAGATTTAATACATTTTCATTGTTTTCGGTATTATTACATATTATAACTTATTTTTTTATTCTATATTATTGACGTTCAGTCTCAAAATACAGATTGAAACATGTTGTTACATAATAATTATTAAACACATCATTTATTTTAAGGAGTATCACAGTTTGGAGACGACACGCTTCTTCTTGGTTCTACAAGCCTTGGAGCCTACCGATACAGACAAGAAAGTATCTTATGGCATCGTATTTTCTCGCCAGGATCAACTTCATATCGATTTGTTCGTTTTCTTCTCGGTGTTTTTCTCGTGTTTCTTCCTCTTCTTAGCCGCCTGCGTAGTTGCTTGGAAAGCAAAGCAAGCCGCCGACGTAAGAAGGGCCCGCAGAAGGCACGTCGTTGAAATGTTACACATGGCAAAACGTCCATTCGCCAGTGTAACATTGAACTTGAGTTGCCGACCTAAACCTAAAAAGTCGGCACATTATGACCTCCGGCCAGTAGCGGTGGAACCAACTGGTAAGGTTTTATCTATTTATAAGGATTAGATAACAATCGCGTCGATTCACTTATAATCTGAGTATGTAGGAATGTAGGTTTTTCACGGCTGGCGTCAATGTTTTGATTGGCTTCCGGATTTTGCCGTGGTCTTTTTTGGTTATAATCTCCAAACGTTTCAACTGCAACGTTTCAATTGACACATCAACTGCAAAATGCGGCAGTGGCGTGGTCGAAATACTCTTCTTGACGTGTCAACTCTTCCTGACGCGTCAACTCTTCCTGACGTGTCAGTTGACATGTCAAGAAGAGTACTTCGACGACGCCATTGAAGATGACTGCCCCAGTTGCAGTTAAAATTTACTCAATATTTTAATGTTAGCAAATACTTTAAATCAGTTCATATGCACCACAGTAGTTAATTATTTCTAAATGGTATTCTTCATTTGTCAAATTATTCACAAATGCTTGTATCTCAATTGTAAATTGAGATGCAAGCTTAAATTAATGTGAAACATTTTCCTTCAACACAGAAAATTATTACAATATGCGTAATAATTCATTCAGCTAACCTTTTTGGTAGTTTCTTCACCTGAAATTAAAACAGTTGAATTATTATTTTGTAAGTAAAACTCACAAGAGTATTTTTGACTTTTTTTTTTTTTAATTAAACCAAACGGACAAACTTACGTCATGTTGAAATAAAAGCTATGATATTTATACTCAACCATTCAATGGACTTTTCATTTTGATATGGAAATAATATCTATCTTCTCCTTGCCAAAACATCAACGGGTATTGCAACGTGTCATACAAACGATGTGTTTCAGATATTCGTTGCAGTTGCCTAGCATCGCGACGTGTATGCACAATATCGCGTTTTTCCAAGTTTTCACCAACAATGAGACATTCGCGATGTTTCGAATCCTAATTGCAAAACGGCTTTGTCGGGAAAAATCAGATCTTCCCGGTGGCGGCATTATTAATAATAATAACTTCACAATGAGATTTATATTAAAATAATTCTTGAACAAAAAAAACCCATTATTAGTCAACTTTGCAATAATTCAAAACAAATCATAGACATAGATAAGATTACGTGAACTGTCAGTTGCATTTTGTTATAACAAATAACATGTCACTATTATCACTGATGTTTTGCCTTGTTTATTATTATTTTTAATGAATTGATTCATGTTGCCATTACTATGTTGTTGGAGATCATCACGAAAAATGAGAAATGAAACTTTCTATGCTTTTTACACTTTTATAAAAGTGGTAAAAAACATAGAAAGTTTCATTTCCCATTTTTCATTTTTATTTTTATTGATAATATATCATATTTCAATACTTACTATCCAATTCCCGAGGAAGACAAATCCAAAAATACAAAGTTCATCAAAAATGGATCTAGCCCTTCTGGAGTTCTTATATTATTATTATTGTTATTGATGAAATATTATATTTCAATACTTATTATCCCATCCCGACGAAGACAAATCCAAAAAAAACAAAAATCATAAAAATTGGTCGAGACGTTCTTGAGTTATTTTTATTATTTTAATTGACAAAATATCATTTTTTCAATACTTATTATCCCATTTCCGAGGAAGACAAATCCAGAGAAATCAAAAATCATGAAAATCTGTCCAGCCGTTCTTGAGTTTTTTGTTATTATTGTAATTATAATTATTTTCATATTTACTCACCTTTTAAATCTTCACTGGACTTCCACAAATAATTCAAAACCAAAATTAGCCAAATCGGTCTTTCCGTTCTCGAGTTTTACTAACAAACAGCAATTCATTTTTATAGATAGAAGATGAGGTAAACAAAGATTGTTTTTATACTATTGCTATTGAAACTGTCAAGCAGTTACCAAGAATTGTTTTTGGATTTTTACTATTGAAACTGTCAGATTATGTCGAGTATGGCCTACGTGTGAATGAATAATAATAATAATAACATTTATTTGGTAAGTAGGATACATTCCTAATATACAACAACAAAATTATAACTAACAAATAATTGGAGCTGATTTAATTGAATGAGGCAATTTGTTGTATGTATCAAAACCTTTGACATATACTGAGTTCATACTGATTTTGGTATTAGTTCTATGTATATGTATGTCAAGATTATGTCTAGTGTAATATTTGTGAATATCATAATTAAAACAAATAGATTTTTTAAGATATGTTCCAGTTAAATCATTAACAATTTTATGCACAAATATCATTGTCTGGTATAAAAGTCTCTGGGATACCGAAAGCCAATTTAGGGTTGTTAACATTGTAATTATGGGAGTATATCGGTTTCCTCTCAATATAATTCTCATTCCTCTATTTTGTAGTTTTTGTAGTTGTGCCTGTTTGTTCAAATTGAAAGAGTATAAAATCGAAGCACAATAATCAAAGTGTGGTTGTATAATTGTTTTATAGACTAATATCTTTGTGTTTAAAGACAGATGCTTTGAAATTGTAGAGTAAAAATATAGTTTTCAAATGTGAGGATCATGGTAGTAGTTTTACTCACATTCAATTTCAATTTATTAATTTTTATATATTTTTCAACTTTTTGCAATATCACATTCATTTTCTGTACAGCAGCATCCAGGCTTATATCACTACAAGCTAATAGAGTATCGTCTGCAAACAGGTTGATAAATTCACAGTCGACATGTATATTAATATCATTTGAATATATAATGAATAGTAAGGGACCCAAAACACTTCCCTGGGGTACTCCATTATGGTTTAATATTTCATTTGAAATTGTACCATTGATTCTTACTCTTTGTTTTCTGCCTTCAAGATAGTTATAAAACCATTCATACACTTTGTCCTCAATTCTGTATATTTTCATTTTGCTGAGGATTATATTTCTGTCGATTGTTTCCAAAGCTCTCCTCGAATCTAAAAATACCTCTACTACAAACTTGTTGTTATCTAATTTGTTTATCAAATAGTTAAGTGACCTCTGTAATGCCGATTCACAAGAGTACTTTTTTCGAAACTCTGACTGATTATCAAACAGAATCTCATTTTCATTCACAAAGTTTAGCAATTGATTGTAAACAGCATACTCAAGTACTTTCTCAATGGGCGGCAACGTATTAATAGGCCTAAATTCCTCAGCTCTGATAGTTTTATTTACCTTAGGAATTGGAATAATAGTACTAATTTTTAGCAGATCTGGGATCTTTCCAGTCTGAAGGGAAGTGTTGATAAGATTCAATATAGTATGTCCAACAGTTTCAAAAATGTGTTTAATAATTTTGGCATTTAGTATTTCATATATATTACAGTTATTGTCGAATGAAGCAATAATATCACGTAATTCTCCTAATGAAACCATTTTGAATTCAGTTATAGGCAAGTAAAAGTTAGAATCGCAGTTATACCACACTTCATCACTTTGAATGCTCTCGATTATCTGGTTGATACTATTAACAAAATAATTGTTGAAATGTTCAACTAAGGATGTCTCTTTCTTGACAATGTACGAGTATCCATTATAATCAAATTGTACCTTGCCCTTCGTGGTATTAGCCAGGGGAGTTGTTGTTTTCTAATAGGTGTCAGTCCATTAACCTACTGTGTAGGGTGTTGAGACTGGCCTGAACGAATTGTTCTTTTAGATGATTTAAAATCTTCCGCTAGTAAAAAACGATTATTTGCTAACATAATGTCATCAAAGATCTCTTCAAGATGTTCCAAAAAAATAGCATCTGAACTCGACCAGGAATGATATAAATAACCAATAAACCATTTTGAAGATTTGAAATCAATTTTTAGGATTGTACACCAAAAATTACCATCAAGCACAAACGATTTATAACTAGAAAAATTAATATTTCTTTGAATATATAGAATTACTCCTCCAGTGTAACGACTATTTGAGTCACAACGCACACAATTATACTGATCCATTATTATTTCTGAATCTTCAATATCCAGTGTCGTCCTAGTTTCACTTAGCAGTACTACTTTAGGTTTGTATCGGAACAATACATCATGAATTTCATCCTTGTGTTTGATTACACTTTGTGCATTCATGTAAATAACATCAGAGCTTAACTGTAAATCAGGATTTCTTTCAAGTTTTTTTTTAATTGAATACTATTTTTACCGACAATTGTTGGCTTATTATTTATAAATTTAATAGTTTTTGTATTACCTCCACTTGCAACAATAGTTTCCAGTTTTGTTTTGATTTTAAGGTAATAATCTCTTTGGGAAATGGTTTGGTCTCCAGAAATCTTGATGTTAGAATTGCTCATCAATTTTCTATTTTTGAGGACGTGTTTAGCGATATCTGGTGATTCCAGAATAACCTTTATGTGCCTGTTCTTGTTAGGCATGGATTTACCCAAAAGTTTTATGTTATCCATGTTCAAGTTAAAATTTTGAAGCACATTAGTGATTATTTTCTTCTCCTAGGCAATTCTTTCATCCTTATTTTGTAAGGAGCATTCTTCGACGTTATAGAGAATAATATTTTTGGCTCGGTTTTGTCTGTCTATCATTTCGCAAATTATATCTTCTTTTTCAAGTCCTGTGGAATCTATCTCCTTAAATTTAAGTGTTTCGACTTCTTCTTTCAGTTTTGTTATTTCACCTTCAAGTAGGGAAATTTTTCTTAATAATTGTGGTACTTGTTTGAAGGAAGTTGTACAATCATCACAGAAAAAGAACATAGACCGTTTTTGCAACTCAAGAACTTTTAATTCCGAAGCAGTTAGTTTGGAGCAAGTTTTAGTCATATGAAAAGTAATTCTGCAACTATCGCATCGAAGAAAATCATCATTTTCATAGTCAATTGAACTTTTACATGTAGAACAGGAGACTACCATTATGGAAATAGTATCCTTCTCTAAAATTCTCAGGTGAACTACTGTTGGCTGTTTTTATTTCCTTACTTCCAATCACTGATGTTTTTACTTGGTCACTTTTTTCAGACCTTACCACTGGAATGTGTTTCAATTGTTATACTTTAATAACCGAACCGAAAGCGTAGCTCGTTAGTTTTCTATTTCACCTGTTCTCATAGATTAATATATTTTCTAACGTTCATGAAGATAGTCAATAAATATGACCTCAGATTTCTGTCGTTTTTGAAAAAGGATTTCATTTTGGGAAAGGTACTCAAAGGAAAAAATCCTACTACTTTTTACACTGTTCTGGAGGTGATGACATTTTTTCTAGAAATTAGTGTTCTCATGATATTTTCTGTGAGGTCACAGGAAATTTTGGGGATAGTGAAATATTTGAAAATTAAATTCATGTTATGGACAAAACTTGTTATGTTCCCAAGATCAAAGTCAGTGCCTAATATATGGCTATATATTTTATATGACTGAAATATGAGTTACTATATTTAGCCAATGAATATATAATAAGATTTATAAAAAAGATGAGATTTCATTTTGGGAAAAGTACTTGAAGGAAGAAATCCTACCACTTTTTCACAGTTCTGGTGGTGATGGCATTTGTTCTAGGGATTAGTGTTCTCTTCATATTTTATGTGAGATCACAGGAAATTTTGGGGACAGTGAAATATTTGAAAATTAAATTAATGTTTTTTTATATTTTAATTTGCTGTTGCATTTTCCATTTGGAAATAATTTGTTAATAGTTATTAATTTAAGTTATTGATATTTTTCTATGAACAATAAATATCAAATTCCAATCTCAACTATTTACTATGAACCAAACTGCTATTGTATACATACAGTATCCACTAAAAGGGCTGCACCATATGGAATTATTTTTAAAATAATTTCTCAGGAAAATGTAATATTACAAAATATTGGTGTCAGCATTATCATGTGTATCCTAATAATAAATGAGTAGTATGCTGCTTATTCAAATAATAAATTGATTTAATGATTTAACAACACAACAGAACTACTTTTTATTATGGAATTTATTTTTCAGGCGATGGGATAGCAGCAGTGGCAACTGTCTTTGTTAGTTTACCAGGAGGCCAAAGCACGTCAGTCAAGCTAGCATTAGCTTCTTCACTGATTCTGCTTGCTAGACAATTTCCCACAGGTGGAAGAATATTCTTGAGGCGAAGATCAATACACGCTGCCCCTCCAATATAGATTTGTT